GTCAGCACCCATCGCATTGTCACTCCGTAGACATTGGGCATGCGTCGCTTACGAAAATCGATGAGATCGACTTGACAGCGATCCAAAAACCGGTAGCTGCGGATGGGTTTCAAAGCTCCTAACTGCTTCTTGATTCTGGGATTGGCTCGGCTGCAAACAGGACAAAGCAAGCAGAATTGCTTTACCTGATTTTCCGTAATGTTGTTGTAGGTAACACAAATAAGTTTGTAGGTGGGAGTGCTTTTCATGTGTCCCTTTTCACTATGAGCATGATAGATGATATCAAAGATTTCAACACTGGGTACCATCAAGGTTCCACCTGCCTTCTTGCTGGGTTCTTTCACTGTGATCTGGAATAGGTCTTCTCCACTGGCGGATTTGACCCGATGAACAATATACTTCTTGATGATATCGTACCCTTTCTTGTTGTTCTTGCGGTAGAGACGTTGTTCATCATCATCATCATTGTCCCAATTGTTCCATATCTCAATGATATCATTCCACTCCTTTTGTGTCAATTCATTGCTTTTCTTCTTGCTCGAAGCTTGTTCTGCAGAATCTTCAAGAGCATCAACATCTTGACCTATACCAAAAACTCTTCTATTAAAAGCAGCTCTGAATTGCTCTTTCAGTCGAGCCTCTTGTGTCTCGGGCATGGCCGCTGCTGCCATGATGCAGTATCAACCAGTAGGTACTGAGGAGAGTGGGAGGGGGAGGGAATTTCTTCACAGAGCACAGTTGTTTGTTGGTTGAACAGTAACAATTAATACAACAAGCAGAACAAGTAGATATCTCCACAATAAATGTTGGTCTCAATCGGTGCTATATTGGTGGAGTTACTATGATAGCTGGTTGCTACTGGTACTAGCTAGCTGGGATGCATGCATGCATGTACTCAGCTTGGTTGGCTATGAGGACTTGACGCCGTTCCGTTCCGACAGCCGATGGATGCCGTTCCTGTTTGGATCTTTTTTGGCCATGCCGATTCTCAAGAATCGGCATTTTGGATGACCCGATTCTTAAGAATCCTCTTTCTCCAGATTCCTCGCACCAGATCTATCCGTATCTTTGAAGGTCTCTCGCCATTCAATCGTGGATTCAACTATTGAGCTCGAACCCTATATTCTCTACAGAACGTGAACATTTTTGTGACGTGTCAAAGGCGATAGTTCGTGGTTCACGTAGATAACTACTGGTACCGCTACTCTAGCCACTAGTACGGTAGTAGCCAGTAAGAGGCCCGCTCTTTCTCTTGTAAAACTTCAATCGGAGCTTGATTACCAGTTTCTCTGGTACTGGTACTCTGGTTCCACCACCGGTAATTAATTGTTACACTACAACAAATAGTGCTTTACCAGTGTACTATTAATAGTAGAGCGAAGGCTTTCGGGGGGTTAACCGGTTGCTAAATTCATGATCTGTATGTGCTTGCTGGCTTGCTGGTGTGTCTTCCTGTCCCGTCAAATGAATCTCTCATTGGTTCATCTATGCATACATAAAAAAGAGGTCTTATTGGTAGCTATTAATAGCATCAGAGTGAAACTGCAGTAGACTGCGTGGCACTTTAAATTTCGCTCTTATCTCACCACTATCATAGTCCTCACGGTCCGCCATTCACTCGTGGATCCAGCTTTGAGCTCGAACCCTATTAATGTAATAAAAGAACCAGTACCGGTATACCAGTGCCTGTGCTCAGTTCGTTCTGAACCAAAACCTCCCTTGTTCCACACCCAACATCTCGCATCCAACAAACAACGAGGAGCCGGTTGTTTTACAGTTCTACAAAGTCGCTGGCAATGTCCCTGGATCTGCAGTCAGGACCAGGCTGTGTTGAGGATAACGGCAACCCCGAAGGGCAAGGGGTAATTGCAAGTGAATTGACCCTTGAATCTGAGAATCCTGCTGCTGCAGATGCTGCCCACGCCTCCAAGGATG